CCCACCCCACCCCATCCCCAGGCTTCTTCCTGAAGGAGGACACAACTGATAAGACTAGAAATGCAGCCTTCCTTGGGGTTCCATCCCCGGGGCATTTAACCCTCCCTCCCCCAGTTCCTTTTACCTGGTTTGCACTCTGGGATCACGGCCTGGTAATCTGCTCCCACACGGATCATGCTATCTGTGAAGCAACAAGAAAGAGCAACAGCTAGGACCTGCTTCTCAAGTTAACAGAGGCCGAGGGAGGGGGGGGAGGGCGACAGCTGGCTTCCAAAGGGAGCTTTGCTGCAAGCGCTGGAGCAAAGGAAACCCGGAAAGACGCCGGAAAGGCACCGTTTGCTAGTGAAGATGCACGCCTGCCCTCGGAGGCCCAGGAGACTTGCCAAGAGATGCAGGCGTCAAACAGTGGGGCTTGCCCATTATACCCTGAGCTTGGGTTCGCAATCTACAACCATCTTCACAACGCCCCAAGAAAAGCTGCTGGCTTCGAGGGATGGCTTGGTTCCCCAGCCGGCTAAAACAATGGCTGCCCCCCTCCCCCCAGCATGCCAAAGCACCACCTTGCCAAGGCCACTTTCCTCGGAACGGCCCACCACAGGGTCAGGAAGCCATTCTCCCCTGCGAAAAGAGGCAGGCGGGTTTGGGGAACAAAGAGGACATCCCGTTCTATTTTTGCGCCCTTGGGGCAGCTGACATGTTGGGGAGATGGCACGGCTGCCCTCTGGGCTGAGCGGTGGCAACTTTTTTGCCAAAGGGAGCCCCCCGGCTAACCACTGCTCTGAGCCTCTCCAAAGTGAGGCCGGAGAGTTGGAAAAGAGCCACGGAGGGGAGCTCTACGCCCGGCTTGGTGCCGTGGCAGAGCTATCTCCAACTGAGACATCTCCTTTCTGGCCATTGCTTGCTCGGTGTTGGCATTCCAGACACATCGTCTCTGAAGCACAGACCTTTGGGTACTTGAGAATTAAGGCCCCTTGGGACCCCCCCTCAAGAAAACAACAAGCAGCAGAATAGCTGAGAAACCTGTCAAGGCACCTTCTGCAATTAAAGTTTCAGTTACCCCCTCTGTCCCTGCTCCCACCCCACCCACCAGCTCCTGTTCCTTTGCTTTTTCTTTGTTTTTCCCTTTCTTCCTTCCTTCCTT